GAAGGGAGGGGAGGATGAGGCAGGTCGACCATCTGTGCTGTGCTCGGGGGGCGTGCGCTTAGACCAGGGTCTTGGAGAGGAACCTGGCACGGGAGAGGACCTGTGGGTCGTCGTCTGCAGCCCCGGCCGCCCAGAGTGTCGGGGAGAAGCGGAGGGCTCATGTCCGCTGGGAATTGTTGGCTGTTGGGGAAACTTTCCTGCCAGGTCAGGCATGGCATGGGGGGCTCTGTTTGGAACGTAGGTCGTCACTCGGAGTTTACTCCTGTTTACAAGGCTGCGCAGCAGGGAAACGGAAGAGTGGGGGGAGGTGGGGAGCCTTCGGCAGCCGCGAAACGCACAGAAGTCTCCTCTCCGCGAGGCGCCCCTGCGCGCTCTACCAGAAACTCGGTTTCGCAGCGACATTTATAAGAGGCCTATTAGCATATTGGGAACGTCCAGCTTCGACATTCTTTTGATTGGCTGTGGCGTCCCCATGGAATGTCCTTATCAGTCCGCTCCTGAGCCATTGGTCGCTGGGCCGGATGGGGGCGGGCCTTGCGCTGTGACTGGCACCGATCCGTGTTTCCGCGGCCTTCTTTTTTCTCTTTCGTGGAGGGACTGGGAGGAGGGAGGAGGTTGAATTGATTTGAATGTCTTCGGGTCGCCCGGCTTCCGGCCTTGGATTGGCTATCGGCGCTGCGGGGTGGGCCGTGTTCCCCAATTCTGCTCCGTGATTTGCTCCCCGTCTGGCCTCCGCCTGCGGCCCGATGACCCCCCATAGGCGGTGGTTCCCGGGGCGGGGTGCGTCGCCCGCTGGACGCCGCCCCATTGGCCTGGTGATGGCCCCGCCCTGACCAGGACCCGAGCCAGGCAACTTCCGGCCGCGGAGCAATGGCGGCGCCCCGGTGCCGGAGGCAAGGCTTGTCAGCTGTGTTCCTGGCTCCACTGAGGACGAAGCATATGCCTCCCACCCCGGCCCCAGGGATCCGCGGGACAGGCCAGCGGCCGCGAGGAACGGGGGAAACGTGAGTGACCCAGGAGCTGTCGGTGCCCGGGATGGCTCGGGTAGTGCAGTGATTGAAGAACCGGGGTATTTGTGTTTGGCGGCCTTTGCAGAATTCGTGGTCACTGGCACTGTCAATTAGCACTTTCCTAGATGACGAAAAAAAAAGCGTCTTCTAAAAATGTCCTGACATCCACGTCGTACCCCTTAAAGATACTTCCTTCTTTACTCCTATGAAGAAACCTGTCACTGTTCAGTGAATACATGCTGCGCTCCTTACTTGGCTCCTGCGGAGAGAATGAATCCCACCCCACCTGGCACCTCTGAAGCTAGTGCTGTTGAGTGAGCTGTAAAGCCTAACCCGTCATGATAATAGTCATAACACATTGGGTTGGCACTTACTATAAATGCAGCACAGTTCTAAAAAATTAATAAAGACCTGTGTTGCAAGTCAAAGTTGCTTACAGCCTTTTGCTCGGTGTGCATCACTTGGAGATTAATTCATAAGGATGGATAATAACCTGCCAATTTTAAATGGCCTTTGAGGTTGTTCTTGAATTATTGGATTCAAAATTATTTTTGAATTATTTTTCAAGTGTTATTTTTTAAATCCCGCCCAACCACCCACCATGGGAAGTCAGCTTCATAAAGAACTTAAGTGCAAACCTTATGTAAAAATTAAAATACATTTCTGATCATTGGAAAGGTCAGATTAAATTTTGCTGCATTCTTATTTAAACCTTAACATTTCTTTCGTAGTGCCATTGCTTTCCCACAGTAATGTTGCTGTGGAGCATTTCTAAGTGAGAGGGGTCAGCAGCCGTTTGGGCTGATGGGGCTGAAGAAACGGGTATCCTGGCCAGATGTCTCCCTGGTTTGCACTGGTGTTCCTCCTGACAGACATGTGTACTTGCACGGCTTTGTTAATGGAGCACTTTGCTTGGGGCATCCAAGAAATACATACCATTATGAAGGTGACAATTACTTATTGCTAATGTTGTGATGTTTGTTTCTTTCCTATAAGAGAGGCTTCACATGAATGTAAGCTTGCTTGTGATATAAAAGAAGCTGTATTTATTAAAATTTTAAATTAGCCATATGGTAGAATTGTCCTCTTTTCTATGAAGTGTTAAAACTGTCTCTAGAAATTTGGCTACTTATTAAACCAAATGATAGTTTTGTAATGTGCAGTTTGTTTAAAAATAAATGGCAGAAGCTCATTTTAAGATGAAATAGAACTTGGGTTAAGAGAGGCATAGCTATTTATTTTCAGAATTAATTACTATAAGAGACTGTAAGGCTGTGGCATTCCTCCTTCCTGGTGAGAGACTTCCTGTCTACATCAGCATTCGCGACTCCTTTGGGGGTCAGACGACCCTTTCACAAGGGGCACCTAAGACCATCGGAAAACACATATATAATTACATATTGTTTTTGTGATTAATCACTATGCTTTAATTATGTTCAATTTGTAACAATGAAATTGGGGGTCACCACAACATGAGGAACTGTATCAAAGGGTCGCGGCATTAGGAAGGTTGAGAACCACTGGTCCACATTGTTTCTCTAAAATATCTTCAGAGCTATTTTAGTTTAAGAATATAGCCTGGAAAATAATACTTACTGTTTAGCTAAACTTCAGTGTTTGCCTAAGTTCATATGTTTACCCTAATTTTAGATTTATCCCTTATAACTATTTGGAAATTAAACCTGGGTGATAGCCACATTTTATACATTTTCTCCCCACATCTCCACACACACACTTCATAATGGAGAGGAGGATTCCTGGTTTTGAGAGCCTGAAAAAGGTTTTCAGGAGAAAAGTCTGATACTATCTAACTGTACTATTTGGGGAAATAACTGGAAATTTCTACCTGTGTATTTAGGCTTTTGGCAAGAATGTTTATTTTCCTTATTTCAGTCAGATTTTTTAACAGCTTTTATTTCTTGAGAAATTGCCTAGTTACATTTTAAATTCACATTTACTGTCTTCCTACCTGTCTGAGAAGATTTACATTTATTTTTAATTTATTTTAGTTATGTTTTACAATCTGTAGCTATAAACTTATTATTATTTAAGCAGTAAATGCAAAAGCAAAATCAGCAAGGCCAGATTGTCAAACCTTTCCCCTTCAGTAATACATGCTAGGATGAAAATGATGTGACTGATAAATTGTAGCTCTGGATTATAAGTAACATTTATTTTTATTATTTTATAAATCCTCACCTGAGGATATTTTTCTGTTGCTTTTTAGAGAGTGTGGAAGGGAAGGAGGGAGTAAGAGAGAGAGAGAGAGAGAGAAATATTGATATGAGAGAGACACATTGATTGGTTGCCTCTGGCCTGAGCCCCAACCTGGGCCAGGGATGGAACCTGCAACCCAGGTAAATGCCCTTGACCAGGAATTGAACCCAAGACCTTTCAGTATTTTGGCCGACACTCTTAACTACTAAACACCAGCAAGGGCATAAGTAATATTATATACATGCTGTAATCTCATAGGGTATTGTGGACATTAGAACATAAAATAAAAGGAATAAAGGCCTTTAAATTATTAGAAAATATTTGAATAAAAACAATGGAAATATAGAACATAGTCACAAATTTTATTGAAAATAAAAATTTGGACCCCACCGCTTCATCTAAATGTGAACTTTCCCCCTAATTGCCCATCCCAGGAGTATTTGTTACTTACGCTTCTGCACGCACACAGAATCCCTTGGAGAACTTTGACTGGTACTATGCTAAATGAGAGCTGTGTTGACATTTGTATTTAGTTCCAGGGATTTTTTTCAATAGGAAAAAGAAAAGATCTGCTGAGAGAGGCTATACAAGTTAATCAGATTTTTCATACTAAGAAGCCTTGCATTGATTATTTCTGTGCTTTGAAATTACATTTTCATAGACTAGAGAATTAAATAAAAAGCTTGATAATGTTATAGTGTGGGTGTAATGCTTACTTTTTCCTTTGCAGAAATCCTGAAGGAGCTAGATGAGTATTACGAGAAGTTTAAGCGGGAGACGGACAGCAACCAGAAGAGGAGAGCGTTGCACTGCATTCAGAGAGCCCTGATCCGCAGCCAGGAGCTGGGCGACGAGAAGATCCAGATTGTGAGTCAGATGGTGGAGCTGGTGGAGAACAGGACCAGGCAGGTGGACAGTCACGTGGAACTCTTTGAGGCACACCAAGAGGTCAATGACACCACTGGCCACAGTGGCAAAGCCGGCCAGGATAAGTCCAAGAACGAGACAATCACACAGGCAGAAAAGCCCAATAACAAGAGGTCTCGGAGACAGCGCAACAACGAAAATCGGGAGAATGCAGCCAATAATCACGATCATGATGACATCACCTCAGGAACGCCTAAGGAGAAGAAAGCAAAGGCCTCCAAGAAGAAGAAACGCTCCAAGGCCAAAGCAGAGAGGGAAGCATCCCCTGCAGACCTTCCCATCGACCCGAACGAGCCCACGTACTGTCTGTGCAATCAGGTCTCCTATGGAGAAATGATCGGCTGTGACAATGACGAGTGCCCCATTGAGTGGTTCCACTTCTCCTGTGTAGGACTGAATCATAAACCAAAGGGCAAGTGGTATTGTCCCAAGTGTCGAGGGGAGAACGAGAAAACAATACAAAAAGCCCTGGAGAAATCCAAAAAGGAGAGGGCTTATAACAGGTAGTTGGTGGACCTTGCTGAACAGGGAGGAGAACTAAGCCAGTGTATTTATTACATTGCCACCTTTGGTGAGGCGCAAAGACTGTACAATGTATATTTTTAAAGAATGTTAGAAAAGGAGCCATTCCTTTTGTAGGGATGGCAGTGATTCTCTGCCTTTTGTTTTCGTTGGTACACGTGTAACGAAAGTGATCTGTGGATCAACATTTTAGAAACTTACAAATATAGGTTTGAATTAAACACTCAAGTGAGTCTCAGACTGTTGTTTCTTTTTTTGGCTGGGAAGTTGATTTGGAAGCAACCTAACACATTAAATGTAAAAAGAAAAGATTCATTTAGCTACTGTTTTATTTTAACAAGAATAATGTTACTTCAGGAACAAATTTTTAAAAAATTAGCCAAGTTGCTAAATCTTCTTGCTATCATAATATATATCCATATAACAATTCAATAAAAAGGTTTCAAGTTTAAAGATTATTTTATCAAAAGGTAAATTGTCATTTTACATGACAAACATTTTATATTCTGTCATGTTACCCCAAATGGCCAGATTTAAATGATTGGGTACATTTTTTATTAAGCCAAGTGGAAGTGGTCTAGTCATGGAATTTCAAAATCATGCTTTTGCTATTACACATCCTAGTGTAGCGTATTTAATTTATATAGGGTATATAAATGTACATTTCCAAGTGAACTTGCACTTGTTGTATTATAATCAGAAGTGCAGCCAGATGCCATTGTGAAATGAAGATGTGTTCCCTGCTATGTGCATGAGAGCTGTATAGAAGTGACATCAAGAAATAAATGAAATTTAGCTAGTTCCTCTAGCAGTATATTTAATTTTGACATAAGTGATTTTTAAATTTTTATCTTAAAAATTGGTACACCAGCAGTTTAGACAAAGCCTTAGCAAAATTTTGTATTATTGTTCTCACTTATTAATGAAGTAGAAGTTACATAATTGCTGGCAAATAAATGTCAAAAGAGTATATAACAAGACCAGGAGTTGGAAAAGTATTGCCCACAGGCCAAATCCAGCCCTCCACCCGTTTTTGTATGTCTGTGAGCCAAGAATGATCTTTACATTGTTAAATGGTTAAAAAAAAAAATCAAAAGAATTCTATTTTGTGACACATGAAAATTATATGAAATTCAAATTTTAGTGTCCATAAATAAAGTTTTATTGGCACACAGCCATGCTCATTCACTTACACATTGTCTGTGGCTGTTTTTGTACAATGGCAGAGTTGAGTGGCTGTGACAGAAAGATCATATGACCACAAAGCTGAAATTACTTTTATTTTCTGGCCCTGAGTTTGCTGACTTGGTTTAGACTAACTTTTTGCATGCTGATCTGTGTCCTTATCTGCCCATATATTGAAAGGGTCAATGGGATTTCCATTTCTAAGTGAGGCATGAGTCACTTTACCCATATATTGCAGAGAATTAGTATCTCTCCATAGTTGTTCTACATCCTCTATGAAGCTGCCACGAGGAAGCTTTGAGTAACCACTGCAGCATCTAAGAATATATGTGGCATTTGTTGTAAGTAAAACAAGTTGTTTTTTTATTATTTGATAAACTATTGAGAACTTTGTGTCAAACTTAAAGTGTTCTTACAGTGAATTTCCATTGTAAGGGGCGGTTGTTAGAGCAATGCAGATTGTACATGATCATACATGAAAATGAACTTTTTGCATATTAGTGCCTACAAATAGGCATTTACTTTCCAGCAAAACTCCAAAACATTTGAAAATCTTGAGTGCTAAAATTTGGTAAGATTTATTTGGTTTCTGCTCTTGGCATTGAACAACAAACAAAAAATACACTATATGAAATAATTTTTAAATACTTGATAATAATTCAATGATAATAAAAGTAGTTTAAAAGAATCTTTGCTTACATAAAACTACTAGTTTTTTATTTCTGTTTTAATTAAAGCTAATAATGAAAATTAAGTTATGGGAGTGAAGATTGAATAGAACACAGTTGCTAATACCAGATTTCTTTATATTTATTTAGTTTTCGTGTGAACAGTTGTATTAGAGATAAGCACAGAGAGGCCAAACCTTGCTGTATTTGAATGCATCTTTGTCCTTTAGGGGTTTGATCTTAATTACTTTTGCCTAACTATTGACCCATGGTTTTTCACTTTCAAAAGACCTATTTCACATAGCATGGTTCTGAGAAATAAATGAAGGTAAGTGAATGACACTTGGATGATGTTAATCAAATGCTGGATATTTTTTTCTGCCTTTAATGATGTTTCAATAAGGACAAATGGAGAGGCATTTTTTTTTTCTTTGAAAAATATGGAACATTATAGAGGCAGGGATTGGATTTGGCAGTCTTAAATCACTTTTAATTCTCTTGGAAGGAAAAGTTTAAAAATCACAGAAATAGGGGAAGGAAAGGGACATTTGTAATACTTTCAACAATAATTATTTTTTTAAAAAAACCACAGGTAAGTACTTAGTACATCAAGATTTAGACTTTAATTTTTAAATTTATTGATTGATTTTAGAAAGAAAGAGAGAAAGAAACATTGATTTGTTGCTCCACTCATTTAAGCATTAATTGGTTGATTTGTGTGTGTGCCCTGACTGGAGATCAAACCCCACAACCTTGGATTATCAGGACTACACTCTAACCAATTGAGCTACCTAGCCAGGGCAAGATTTAGGCTTTAGATATTGATTAAATACAATAAATAGAAAGATCCACGTAACTCTGGGGCAGTGCTAAAAATGGGATTGAATTTTTTTTGAAAATAGATTAGTGAAAAGCTATTGTAGAACACTTGCTTATTTTTTATTAAAACTTTTTAATTGAAGTGTAATTGACAGCATTATTTCCAGGTGTACAACATGATGATTTGATATTGTGTGTGTTTTGAAATGATCACAAGTCTAGTTAACATTTGTCATTATATATAGTTAACAATTTTTTTTTTTTAAGTACCTTTTTATTGATTTCAGAGAAGAAGGGAGAGAATTATCAATCAGCTGCCTCCTGCATGTCCCCTACTTGGAATTGAACCATGATCTCCTGGTTCATAGGTTGGCATTCAATCACTGAGCCACACTGGCTGAGCAGCAAAAATTTTTTTAAACCTTGTGATAAGGACTTTAAAAATTTGCTCTCATACACTTTTAAATATGCAACACAGCATTATTAACTATAGCCACCATGCTATACATTACATCTCCATGACTGATTTTATAACTGGGAGTATGTACTTACTTGTGACCTTCACCCATTTTACCCACTCCCACCCCTGCCTTTGGCAACCACCAGTTTCTTATATTTAACCAGAGACCCTGTACATGGATTCATGCGCTGGTGGGGTCCAAGAGCCTGGCCTGTGTCCTCTCACAATCCGGGACCCCTCAGGGTATCTCAGAGAGCCAGTTTCAGCCTAATACCTGCAGGCCAGGCTGAGGGACCCCACCAGTGCACAAATCAATGCACCAGGCCTCTAATATGCATATAAGATCTTTGGTTATTCTCTTTCCACCCTCGCCACTTCCCCTCCCCACTTCCCTCTGAGATTCATCAGTCTGTTCCATGTTTCCATGCCGGTGGTTTCTGCTCTTGGCGTTGAGCGTCTGCCCCCTGGTGGTCAGTGTGTGACATAGCTACCTGCCAGTTGGCTGGTCGCTTAGGCTTTTTATATGTATAGATAACCAAATTATTACAGTTCAGATAGGTTCTAAAATGTTTCTGTTAGAATGGAATACTTCATTTAAAACTGAACTAAGGACATTTGGTTCGTTCATTTAACTAGTGTGCATTGAGTAGTCATGGCTGGCATGCCTGGGGCAGGGGGCACAGAGAGGGCTGTACTCCAGGTCCTGAGAAAGAATACTGACTGCAGTGACAGGGCCCATGGCCACCCACAGAGATATATCTTCCAGTGACTCGGGCATTGTGGTGTTGTGTTGGTACCCTGGACTATCAGTGGTTACAAGTTCTGAAGTAATAAAGCATTTACCAAAGTAAAAGCCACTTTATTATCACTATATACTTATTTTAGAAAGACTGAGTACTTGAAATAACCTTTTGTGTCATTCATACAGTGTTCTGGGTAAAATGTATCAAGATATTAAACCCTTTCATTAGGCAAAATATGTTAACTTTTCATTAACTTTTTGTCTATGCACTTTTAAAGACTGCTTTTGCAGATCTAGCTTTTCTAGAAGTAATTTATGAATCGTTGTAATCACTGGCATGTATAGAACAAGATTTTAGGAAAAATTGTCTCCCTCTAGGTTATAGCTTGTAATCCAGTCCTCTTTAATTTTTTTGTTGTTTGTTAATCCTGATGCGATTTTTTCCCATTGATTTTTAGAGAGGGAGGGAGGGAGGGAGGGAGGGAAGATGGAGAGAAAGAGAGAAACATTGATGTGAAAGAAACACATCAATCGGTTGCTTGCTGCACACACCCTGACAGGCGCCAGGACCCGAACCTGTGACCCTTTGGTGCGTGGGCTGATGCTCACAGTGGTTCTCGACCCTTTAACACAGTTCCTCATGTTGTGGTGACCTCCAACCATAAAATTATTTTCGTTGCTATTTCATAACTGCAATTTTGCTGCTGTTATGAATCGTAATGTAAATATCTGATATGCTATATCTGTTTTCCGATGGTCGCGACCCACAGGTTGAGAACCGCTGCACTATGACATCCCAACCAGGGCCATTCCTCTTTCATTTTGGGGTCCAGGTGGTTTTACACGGTTTGGGAGGTAGACTTTTGGGTTTGTTTAATCTGGAGAACTTGCTAGTTAATTACTGCTTGAGACACTTATGTTCTCATCACCCTCTCAGGCTACATGTATGGAGGGCTCAGAAAGATAACTGGGAAAGAGGTGAATCAAGATAGTCTCTTGAGGTTTTTATGAGGGTCTTTGTTTTAAATATTTTAACTATTCGGTTGCTTTCCTCGCAAACCAGTGTGCTGTGTCCCCTCCCCCCAAAAAAGGATGACAACAAATACATAGTTTTAACTGGAATAAAGAAGAAGATTAGGTCACTTCCCTTGCCTCAGAACTTTGTATTTTTTAAAATATGTTTTTATTGATTTCAAAGAGAGGATGGGAGAGGGAGAGCTAGAAACATCAATGCGCCCTGACCAGTAATCTAACTGGGACATCCCTTCTCCCCTCTTGTTCATGGGTTGATGCTCCACCATTGAGCCATACCAGCCAGGCAGAACTTTGTATTACCAGATTTTGTTCATAAAGATGGGGTTGAT